ATAGGAACTGTGTTTTATTTATCCTCTATTCTCAGTTTGATCATCATGATTTTCACAAAAGAGATGCTCCTTACTATGCTATTTCATTCATTTAACAGATATTTATTTCTATGTGTCAGATGCTGCACCAAGCCTGGAAATACAATTGGGTGAAAATAAAACAGAGCCTGCTCTCATGGATCTTATAGCCTACTGTAATAAAAAGAACTGGGGAGCCGGGACCGGTTTGGCTCAGTGGATAGAGCATCGGCCTGCGGACTGAAAGGTCCCGGGTTCGATTCCGGTCAAGGGCATGTACATTGGTTGCGGGCTCATCCCCAGTGGGGGGTGTGCAGGAGGCAGCTGGTCGGTGTTTCTCTCTCATCGACGTTTCTAACTCTCTGTCCCTCTCAATTCCTCTCTGTGTAAAATCAATAAAAATATATTTAAAAAAAAAAAAAAAAAAAAAAAGAACTGGGGAAAGGGAGGGAATTTAACCAAAGATATACTATCTATCTATCTATCTATCTATCTATCTATATATATATATATATCCTACCTGCAGATAAAACTACAATAATAATCTAAAAATGGGGGGGGGGGACGCTCAGTGATAAGAGCATCGGCCTGTGGACTGAAGGGTCTCAGGTTCAATTCCGGTCAAGGGCATGTACATTGGTTGAGGGCACATCCCCAGTGCAGAAGGCAGCTGATGGATGTTTCTCTCTCTTTGATGTTTCTAACTCTATCCCTCTCCCTTCATCTCTGTAAAAAAAAAAAAAAAAAAAAAAAAAAAAAAAAAAAAAAAAAATCAATAAAATATTTTTTTAAATGAAAAAAAAAACTAATGCCAAAATAGAGTTCAAAAGAACCTGAAGTCTGTAACCTTATAACATATACTCAAAGTATTTAAAAGATAACACAAATTACAGCCTATTAACTTTAATGTGATATCTTTTCTATTGTTTGATATACACCACATAAAATACTTAACTCTCTAAAAATCTCTAGCTTATATTTAAATAAAGTTAACACATTTTATGTATGGTTTTTTCCCTAACTTTGCACTTCCATAGAACTTTTTATCCAAAAAGCCTCAGTGACTCATTTTTCACAAAATCCTCCCCCAGGGAAGGAACATTAACAGAAATATAAAACACTCCTGGTACAAAACTAAAAACCCAAATATCAAGAAATCAGTCCAGTAACACACTGAGTAATGAAACTCCATTGTGTATGTCCAAAAAGAAATGCTAAATACACAAAGTCGTGCAGCACTCCTCTGAAGTGAGTCCTGGAAGAGACAAGATCACTCTATTCAGGTGCAGACAGTGGTTGGGCTCATGAGTTCTCATAACAAGCTGTAATCCCACCACCTGTCTAGCTGGTTTCCAGAGGTTACTGGTTTATCTATGATTATGTATTTAAGAAACATGCAATCAAGGACATTTCAACGGATGGTTGAAAGAGGGCCAGGAAAAACAATTCAGGAATTAATATGCATTCACTTCTACAGGTGTTGTTTCAGCCACGACCTAAAAAACCTTACGTGTATCTAGTGTTCGAACTCCTAGGAACTCCACTGCTACGATGGTTCAAAATTCTGACAGAGGACACTGCTTACCATATTACTCAATATCACCTATTATATGGTATTCCATGTGAACTTGACATAAGGAATAATAAACATTACATCTCCCTCTCAGGCTTCCCTTCCATGTTTAATCCTCAACTTCAACCACTCTGTGTTATGTTGGCAAATGTATGAGTGTTGGAAAAGAATAAGTACAGAGTGGTAAAGAATAATTGTAGAGTGATATTAAAGAAGGATCCACAGATTTTTTTAAATAAAAGTAAAATGGCCCTGACAGGTTTGGCTCAGTGGATAGAGCATTGGCCTGCAGACTTAAGGGTCCCAGGTTCAATTCCGGTCAAGGGCATGCACCTTGGTTACAGGGACATCCCCAGGAGGTGTGCAGGAGGCAGCTGATTGATGATTCTCTCTCATCGATGTTTCTAACTCTCTGTCCCTCTCTCTTCTCTTTGTAAGAGATCCATAAGATATATTTAAAAAGTAAAAAAAAAAAAAAAAAAAAAGTAAAAGTAAAATGAAGTAAGCTTACTTATAGTTACTCAAAATATTTCCATCCTCTCAACTAACATGTGGACTCAAAGTCAATGACCATCTCAAAAAGTACAAAAAGCTAGTGACAAAGCCAAAAGCACCTGCAAACAAATCTGACAGAAAGATGAAAGAGATGAAATATTTTTCAAAGACTGCTTTCCAACTCTGTGAATGCAGTCTGTTTGCTGAGAATGACTCTGAGGTGGAGCAAATAAGTGCTAATTACTGACGGTCAGATTAACCTAAAAGAGGTCAAACTTCCTTCATACACGTTAAATGAACAAACAAACAAAACAAAAAAAAGCCAAGTACATGTAAGTAATTACAGGTAACTGCAAAACACAAGTCAATCTCACATTTAAGAAGTGTGGGCACAAGAAAATAACCTATGGAAAGTATCATGTTTATTTCCCCATCCTACGCATACTTAGGGAAAAGCAAAACTATAGGCAAAGCTCACGGTCCGATGGTTTTTTAAACCAAATGAAATGTCTTCTAGACACAGTGGATGAAGCAATCTAAAAGAGTCTGATGGGAAGGAAGAGGGGGAAATCAGCGTCAAGTATGAAGAACATAACACAAAAGTAGAGAAAAGGGAACCGCCTCAATTATAAATCTCATAAAGAAGAATACACACGAGCAACTCCATTTCCCATCAAATAAGTCTTTGCAGGCACTGGCAAATGCTGTCCACGCCATAGACACAGAAGGTGCTTTCACCGCCCTCTGGCAAGTACTGCACCAGACAGGGTGAACTGGGACTGCTAAACTCCTGTAACACAAAACCAACTTGGGAGGAAGAGCTTACCATGCTCAAATCAATCCACTTCAGAAATACACAACGAAGAAGTGTACAACCTGCTCCCCAAATAAATAACCCATAAACTTGGAAAATCAGAACTACAACGTATCCTCTTCTGAAGGACTAGTCATAGAGGATTATTAAAAATTTCTCAGAGCGAGTCATTCCATCATTCCATCATCTACTGCAGCCAGGATACAAATCCTCTTAAAACGAAAAACAAATAGTTTCAAAGTAAATCTTCATGAGCCTGTTATCTATCATCTTTAAAACATTTTAAAAGGATTCTTGAAACAAAGTTTCATTAGCATCCTTCTAGAAAGAGCTTTAATTTATTTCATTCTAGCAATTTAAAAGCTACCCGATATTCATTTCTACATTAGATTATTGATTGCTTGCCTTTTAACATCTCCATAACAGCTGCTTGACAAATTACCTCACCTCATTCCTCAGGGGGTAAGGACAGCATGATATCCATGAATTCAAAAATGCAGCCACAAACTGATCAGAGACAGACGAGCTAATTGCATCAGATGAATTAGACACAGCTCTAATAGATGAGGCACTCATAGAGCATTATACAATTAAATGCTCACACTTTAAATATTTTATTTGCCCTTAAGTGAAGACTTTCTTAAATTTATCTTCATTTTAAAATATATTTTAGCTTCAGAGAGTCAATAAGCTTGTCCACGTTTCGAATAATTCCTACAGAAAGCCTACTTTTTCAGAATAATTACTCTGAATAGTTTGCACAACTTCCAGATTTGGCTTTATTTCAACCGAAGAGATCAGCAAGCCCCGGAATTGTCTACGGAAGACAATTTTGAAAATATCTTCCAGGTCCTTGGCAAACTAAAAGCCAAAAGTATTTTTCAAAGATATAGTAAATATACTTCAAAATTATACCGTAAACTATGTGTTGTATTTACCTCCGCTCACTCTGATTTGGGCCAGAGAGGGAGCGTGAGATACAGAGGACAAAGTCACTGAGATACAGAGGGGGGGAAGCACCTATATAAGCCATAATCTTGTAGAGAATCCTGTAGAGAAAAAATAAAATAAAACATTGCTTTCCTCCCAAGAAGAATTCACAAAAACGGGGGTGGATGGAAAGGCACATTTCAAGTGAACAGCACTTCATTACCCTTGGTAAATCAACCTCTTTCTGGACAAACACAAGACTCCTTTCTGAATCCGACCAATCCCATCCAATACGAACTTACCCATTCCTCCAAAGCGACCCCACCCAGTGTGCTTGCTACCTCCGAGTTGTATACACTGTAGTAACATGTCAACCGCTTAACAACATAAAAGCTAAATCCACGGCCTTCTTCAACTAACCACTTTGGCAACAGTGACAAGGACGGTAACTATCTACTCTCCCCGAGACCAAATAATAAAAATTAAAAAATAAAATAAAATGCAGACATCCAGGAACACATCCACTTCGCAGAGGACTACCTTCCCTGGGACGGGCAGCTCCCCCCCCCCCCCCTTCTCGGACCCAAAGCCCGACCTCCAACCCGGGTCCGCGGGCGGGCGGACCCTCCGGCTCCGGGACCCGGTCCGACCCCGGGACCCGGTCCGACCCCTCCCGCCGGGAGCGGCGGCGGCGGCGGCGCGGGGCGCGGGGTTTGTGCTGAAAGTTGGTGTCCGGGCGGCAGCCGCAAACTTTCCTCCGCGTCCGAGCACCGCCTCGCCGGCGGGAACCACCGCCAACGGGCGGGCCGGGGGCCGGGGCCGGGGCCGGGGCCGAGCCGCCGCTGCGAGGGCTGACACCGCGGAGAACTTTCCCTTCGCCCCGGCCCCGGCCCCCGGGACGCCGGCCCGGCCCGCTCCCCTCCCGGCGGGACCAGGGCACGGCCCCCCGGCCCCCCGGCCCCCGGCCCCCCGGAGCCGCCCCGGCCCCGCGCGGCCCCCACACAAAGGCTCGGCCGGCGGGGCTGCCGCCGCCCCGCACCGCGCTCCGGCCGCCGGGAGGCAGCTCCGCGGAGCCTCCCGCCCGGCCCCGCAGACAAAGCCCGGCCGCCCGCCCGCAGCCCGGGCCGCGGGGCCGCGGGGCCGCAGGACGCGGGCCGCGCGCGCGCTTACCCGGGCCTCGTCCGCAGCGCCGCCGGCGCCGCCTCCCCCGCCGGCCTTGGCGGCCGGGCAGCTGGCGGCGCGGGTCTTGGAGGAGCGGGTCCGAGAGGAGATGAAATGGCTGCTGCCTCCCGTCGCCCCTGCCTCGGCGCCGGCTCCAGGCCCGGGCCCCGGCGACTTGGACCCGAGAAGGCGCAGAGAGCTCTTCCGGGTGTTCACCATGGTCCGGCCAGCAGGACGGGTCCCAGCGCGCCCGCCGCCGCCGCCGCCGCGCCCGGGAGCCGTGGACGGCGGACCGCCGGCCGGGCGTCAGGGCCCGGGGAGCCGGGCCGGGAGACGAGCCCGGACGCCGCAGGAGCGCGGGCGAGGACGACAGGCGACAGGAGGGCGGGCGACGCGCAGTCGACGGGAGAAGGCAAAGCGGCGAGGAGGCGGGAGCACCGCGCCAGGCAGGCAGGCAGGCAGCCGGCTCAGCCCTCCACCCGCTTCGCCCTCCTCAGCGGGAGCCGAGCGGAGCCGCCATGTCTGCCCCTTTCTCTCCCGTGCTCGCTCTCGAGCTCCGTGCGTCAGGCAGGGGCTCCGGCGCCGCAGGGCCGACGAGCCCGCTTCCGGCCGTGACCGCTGCGGGGCGCTGCAGGGCCGGGCAGCCCTTTCCCTCGCCGGCTGCTCTCCGGAGGCCCCGCCCCTCCCTGCAGGCCCCGCCCAGCGGCGTGACGTCAGCTCGGCGGCCAGGGAAGGGGCGCTCTGGGCTCTGTCGACTCTATGGTCGGCGGGTCTGGCCAGCCCTCTAGGAAGGGGGATGGGAAACCCCCTTCCCCGCGAAGGCGCGCGGGCGGAGCCCTCACTCCCCGCCGGGCCGAGCCCCCCGGCGACCCCGCCATCGGCCCGGGGGCCGGGTCTGAGCGCGGAGCCCGGGCGGGGGGTGGAGGGGAGGGTGCCTGGGGACGAGGTCGCGGTGACCTGCGTTAGAATATCAGATACCGAGGTCGAGACACGCTGAACTTGGGTCACACTCCGCATGGCTGTAAAAGTGAGTGACAGGTGTGATCAAACAGATCTGTTCGGTATCAGGCACACCGTAAGCTTTAAAAAATAAAGAGAGAGAAAGAACAAATACTAGAACCCTGCTCTTTAATCAACGTGAGGCAGGTTCTTTTTCTTTTCTTCTTTTCTTTTTTTTTTTTAATATATTTTATTGATTTTTTTTTTTTAAAGAAATACTAGAACCCTGCTCTTTAAACAACACAAGGCAGGCTCTTTTTCTTCTTTTTTTTTTTATATATTTTATTGATTTTTTTTTTTTTTTTTTTTTTTTTTTTTTTTTTTTTTACAGAGAGGAAGTGAGAGGGATAGAGAGCTAGAAACATCGATGAGAGAGAATCATCGATCAGCTGCCTCTTCACACCCTCTACTGAGGATGTGCCCGCAACCAAGGCACATGCCCTTGACCGGAATCGATCCCCGGACCCTTCAGTCCACAGGCCGACGCTCTATCCACTGAGCCAAACCGGTTTCAGGGGCAGAGTCTTTTTCTATTTACATCCCGCCTCGCCCCCAGGCAGAGGTAAGGCGGAGTCACAAAGAATGCACTGGTCCTTCTAAGCGCCTCCTTCACCGCTGCCTCAGCCCACCCTGCCCTCGCAAGAATGAAGAACACAAAAAGCTGAACCCAAAGAGGTTTAAGTTGTGATTTAACTTCCAAAGGAAGAGATTAAAGCACACGATTACTGGGGGGGTGGGGGGAGGGAGCTCTGCTGTAAAGTAGTGATTATGTTCATTTCAAAAGTTCTCAGCACCTTAGTGATAGAGTCTATCCTGTTTGCTACACCAAGAAGAATTGAAGACTCGTGGAAAGTCCTGTAGAGATCGCCAAGCTGCTGCAGCATTGGAGCTTTCTAGCCATCCAACCTCCCAGTGACCCTGGGCACGGACAGCTTTTCCATTTGGGGAGCAGTGCGGGTTCCAGGAAAGCAGACTGATTTGCATACCACACCCTCCTCTAGACTCCACCCACAATTTAAAAGTCTGGCTTCTCCTGGGAGTGGAGATCTTGTAATGGCACCAGACCTGGGCTTTTCTGTAAAGTTAGCTATGATCATTGAACAGAGAAAAAAAAAAAAAAAAAGAAAAAAAAAAAACAGTATCATTTCCTGCAAAACATTGTATTACTGAAGTGTCCGGAAGGCTCCTCAAGACATACCACCCACGGTAGCGCCAGGAGCATCAGGTCCCTGTCAGTGTGTGTCCAGCCTCCACTTCTGTCAGTGTGTCCTGCTCAGGCATCACACCAATTTGCCACCCAGGCCTACATTGGGTCGACCCAACGCTCAATACTTTACCCTGAATACCCATTGAGTCCTACCAAGATCAGCCAGCATCTCTACGTGTGTTTGTGAGCATAAGGGTGAAGGAGTCATGGCTGCCTTTCCTGGCCCCGAGTTCTTCATCATGGGCTCTGATGAGCTTCTTCCTTACCCTCTCTCAAAACTCCTTAGCCAACAGCTTCCTCTGCCAGCGCTCACGGAAGCAGGTTTTTCTCTGGGGAACCTGTCTCAGTGTTGGCAGCACTGTTGTAGTCTCCCAAAGTCTGCCCTATTTTTTAATTCTTTTTGTTTTGTTTTTGTATTCCTCACCTGAGAATATGTTTTTATTGATTTCAGAGAGAAAGAAAGGGAGAGGGAGAAAGAGAGAGACATTGATGTGAGAGAGCAACATCGATCAGTTGCCTCCCATATGCACCCCAACCAGGGATAGAATCCCCAACCTGAGTATGTACCCTGACCAGGAATAGAACCTACAACCTTTCAATGTAAAGGACAACCTTCCAACCAATTGAGCAACACTGGCCAGGGCCATTTTTTAATCCTTTATTTTTGTGAAAGCAATTTTGGTATTTGGAGGAGTTCAGGGGCCCACCTTCTACAGTCACCAAGAAAGAGAGATCATTCTGAAGCTACTCTTTGAGAAATATTTTCTCTGACTTTATTTCTAAAAATGATTTTAAATAATGAAAAGTATCCTGAAGGAGTGTGTGGTATGCAAATTAGCATACAAAGGCTTTGGGTGCTTTCCTTCTTTGTTTTGTTTCTGTGTTGGTTTGTTTTTGCAGTCCTAGCTAGAGAAAGCCAGGTTCTGAGTTGAGGTACTATAATTTATACCATTTTTAAAAAATATATTTTTATTATTGATTTCAGAGAGGAAGCGAGGGGGAGAGAGAGGGAGAGAGAGAGAGAGAAACAATGATGAGAGAGAACCAATGATGATGGCTGCCTCCTGCATTCCCCACATTGGGGATTAAGCCCACAAACCCAGGCACTTGCCCTGATTGGGAATCAAACTGTAACCTCCTGGTCCATAGGTCCACACTCAACAACCGGTCATGCCAGCTGGCCATTTATTAACAACAAATATTTACTCTAAACCCAATTGGTGTTAAGTACTACACATCAGCTAGGAATAGGGAGGTTGTTTTGTTTTGTTTTTTAAACAACAACATAACTCTGAACTCACAGACAAGAAGAGAACAAAGGGGACGAGCAAGGGCTCAGTAGGCTGCAGCATGATGTTTTAAGGAAGAATGAGGTGGAGACCTCTAATTCAAGCAGGGATGTCCTGGGGGCCCCTGAGAAGTAATGACTCCTGAGATGCATCTTGAACCACAAAGTGGAGAAAGGAAACGTTATGGACAAAAGAAAGGAAGACTTGAAAGAGAGATGGAGCCGAAACCGGTTTGGCTCAGTGGATAGAGCCTCAGCCTGCAGACTGAAAGGTCCCGGGTTCGATTCCGGTCAAGGGCATGTACCTTGTTTGTGGGCACATCCCCAGTGGGGGGTGTGCAAGAGGCAGCTGATCGATGACTCTCTCTCATCGATGTTTCTAACTCTATCCCTCTCCCTTCATCTCTGTAAAAAAATCAATAAAATATATTTTTTTAAAAAGAAGAAAGAAAGAGATATTGAAGCCTTGCTTATTTTTCACAAGATAACCTGCCTTGCTTTCTCACACCTTCTTATAATCTTCCTTAAATTCCCTCCTTAATTTTAAGTGCAGAAATTCTGCAGAGCTTTTGAGTTCTTGCTTCCCAGCAATTGTCAGTTAAGCTCAAATAAACTCATAAAAATTCTCTACAGGTTTGGACTTTTTTTTATTTTGACAGCATGATATTTAAATAAATGGGATAGGCCGAAACCGGTTTGGCTCAGTGGATAGAGCCTCAGCCTGCGAATCGGAAGGTCCCAGGTTTGATTCCGGTCAAGGACATGTACCTTGGTTGCGGGCACATCCCCAGTGGGGGTTGTACAGGAGGCAGCTGATTGATGTCTCTCTCTCATCATCGATATTTCTAACTTTCTATCCCTCTCCCTTCCTCTCTGTAAAAAAATCAATGACATATATTTAAAAATAAATAAGTAAATTAATGCGATAGAATTTTCTAGTCCAGAAATAAACCAATACATCTATGGTCAACTGATTTTTGACAAGGAAAGAATCATCTCTTTATCAAATGGTGCTATGACAAGAGGAATAAATAAATAAATAAGAAAGAAAGAAAGAAAGAAAGAAAGAAAGAAAGAAAGAAAGAAGGAAAGAAGAAAAGAAGGAAGAAAAAATAAAGAAAAAAAGAAAAGAGGCCTCATATAAGAGCCAAAGGAATCGAAGTGACTCCCTAACATAGGCTTCAGCGGACAGCGTTTGGGGAGCACGGGTTTGGAAGCAGAACTCACCACAGGATCCCAGAACCAATCACTGAACAGAAGACGAGCTCAAGAGATTCACCAGATGCCTCTACCTGGGTGGGGATGGCAGGGGTCTATGGTAAGGCCCAATCTCATTTTCCATCCTGGCACCAAAAACTGTCAAATAAAACACAAATCTGGGTTTAGGCAAAAATGAGACTTCTTTTGAAGAAAAAAAAAAAAAAGATTATTGCAACGGGGGAAAGATACTCCTCTGTTGCAATACCATAGAAGGGCAATGACTGTGCGGGGAAATGCTCAGCTGAAACAAAAACAACACCTCAGCTTTAGGCAAAGGGAGATTTTACTGGGGGAGATTATTCCAAGAAGCGAGGGAGTGATGCCGTGGGGCGTGTGGGGTGAGGAGAGGACTCCTGCAGGAGGGGACCTCCCTCACTATGCCCCAGATCTGCCTCTGTCTCCAAGACCAGGCGGCCGTTTCTTTGCTAGGGAGCGGGGGAACAAACGCCAGAAAGAACTGGCTAT